CACTGTACTAAGTTCTTACATGCCCACTATAAGGTAAAAACTATGATTTCCCCCATTTTACACACGAGAAAACTGAAGCATAAAGAGAATGAGTAACTTGTCCAAAGTCCGAGCTAGGAAGGGTGAAGCCAGGACTCAACCCCAGCCTTGTCAGATCGAGTCCGGGCTCTCAGGAACACTGGGCAGGGTTAGTGGACCCAGCTCGGCTTGGATAGAACCCCGGGCTGAGTCAAGCACAGTTCGTGCTCATTTTCAGCACATTCTAAGAACAGCAGTTTCTCCTTGATGCTGCTCCACCTTGAAACTAATGACAAAAACAGTTCTGACATTTAAACTAGCCTCTGAGAAACTATTGGGCCTTCAGTTCCATAGGCTGGGAATTGGACAGAACGACAGACAGATTTGGTAGGGAACGCTGGTGGGGACAAAAAGCCACCCTGAAAATGTACCCTCTCACAAGGCTGCTGTCACCAGGACCCCTCAGACAGACCTCCTTTACAAAGCAGCCCTCACCCTGAGCCGTGGCAGCCAGGAATCCACCCAGCCCCTGCAACGCAATCCACCCCAGGGGTGACAGGGTTCTAGGCCACAGCTTCTAAGTTAAACACAGCTGTGAGCTATTATGCTGCAAAGTTGTATCTGTGTTAACTCACCAATTTTTGATAAAATTGGTCACTTGTTAGAGTCACCAGAGAACAGGGCAATTCTGGTCCCATACTTGCTAACTTCCATTTTCCTTGCTCTCTGCCAACGCTTAACTCACCGTCTGCCTGGCTTCCTCTTAGCCCTGGACGATGCTTGCGCGGTCCCCCTTGCAGAAACACGAAGCCACAGTTCTACCCTCAGTTATCAACAGCATTTGCAAATTTGAATCTTCAAAGGCTGAGCTCACCAGGCAAAACCCTTGCTTTGGGGGAAGCGGTTACACCACAAAACAGGCACCCTAGTAGTAAGGTTCCCTTAATTAGTATGCCCCCCTTGGCAATGTGCCTAAACACAGCCAGATAATGTTCTGCTACAGTGCTTCTCCTCTCATTCAGTCATTCATTCATTCTCCACTCATTCAGCAAATATTTATTGAGTATCTACGTTGTTCCAGGCACTGAGATTACAACAGGATCTCTCAGGATGCAGACCTCCAGAACCAAGTGAGCATAACCCTCCTTTTCTGCCCTGGTGCTTCCAAAGACCTTTGGGGGGAAGCCAGGGAGGAGGCCTACCTGGGTGTGTAAGTGGTAGGAGGGAGAGAAGATAAGAAGAAAAGGAATAAAGACAAACAAAACTCCAAAGAAACGTTCAACTTTAACCAGTAGTCTGCTGGTTAATGGTAATATTGATATTATTATTTTAAAACTATTCTATATATATAATGGGATAATACAAAAAAGTAATCATTTAATGTTGCTAGGAAGCAAACTGTCAATGTAAAAGAAAACATATAAAAATCAAGGGAATTAAGTTAACGACCCTGTAATGTTAGAGCTGAATTGGAAAGATTAACATTGTATTGGTCATGTTTCTACACGATAATGTGGCATAACAAACAACCCTCAAATCTCAGAGGCTTACAACAACAGTAGTTATTTCAGGCTCACAGGTCTGCAGAGTGACTGCAGTTCAGCTGATCTCTGCTGGGTTCACTCAGGCTGGGCCAGATTAAGCTGGGTTAGGTGCAGGTCATCTCTAACGTCCTCATTTTTGGACTCAGGCTAAACGAGCAGTAATGACCAGTACATCATGAAGACTGGAAGTTCCAAGAGGGCTGGTGAAGCTTGTCACGCCTTTTACCACCTCAGCTCACCACTTGCATACTGTCACTTGCGCCCAAGTCACAGGGCCAAGCCCAAAGTCAATAGGGTGAGGAAATGGGCCGGCTCCGTGGCTTGGCGGTTAAGTGCGTGCGCTCTGATGCTGGCGGCCCGGGTTCGGATCCCGGGCGCGCCCCAAGGCACCACTTCTCCGTCCAACGCGAGGCCGAGTCCCACGTACAGCAACTAGAAGGATGTGAACCTACGACATACAACTATCTACTGGGGCTTTGGGGGGAAAAACATGAATAAATAAAATCTTTAAAAAAAAATAAAAAAAAAAAAAAATAGGGTGAGGAAATATACACCACCCACAGGGAATTTATGACCAAGATGAGGAGGGAAGGAAGATTTGTTGAGAAATAACACCACCTACCCTATCTATGACCTCATGACTTTTCCTTTTAAAACATAAATATTTCCTAGCCCTCTCCACCGAAAAGGCCTAAAAGCGACAGCAACCCAGTAGCAATGAACATCCTCTCACCCAGATTGTGGTTTCTAAATAGTATTCTCCACGAAAAGACATCAGCATCCCTGAAGGAATGCCAGATTCCAGGTCATCAGCAAGAAATCTACAACATAATATTGGGGTATCTCGTTGTGCCAAGAGCAAGGAAGCTATCAAAAACTAATGGGCTCATGTTAAAAGGATACAGGAGATGACATGAAAGGGCTACCATTGCTTAAAGACAGGACAATTTACACATCAAAAAGAATAGTGACTAGAACTGATTGAAACAGATTCCCAACCCCACACTACCTGATGGAATCAGAATCTCCAAGGAGGGAGCCTAGGCATCTGGATTTTTTTACAGAGCTTCCCAACTGATTCTGATGAGAGCCAGGGCTGAAGGGCACCAGTCCACAGGTCTCCTGATCTTCTTGGAGTCCAGTCGCTCACAGTGCCCATCTTGCTCTCGGATGCAGGCCTCTGCTTCCTGGAAAGTCTTGTCTACATCAAGCTTAAAACTGTCCCTTATTCATGTCCTTCCAACTCTGGGGTGGTCCAGCCACAACGTGGCAGGCATCATCAAGGGAAAAAATTTCAGTTTTCAATCTGCTAACAAGAACAATTGCAAAAAAGCTGGGGCAGCTCCCAGGGTCCTCCTTTAACCACAGTTTTGACAATGACAATGAAGAACAAACTCATCCATTTTTAGCTCACATATCATAGATCCAAGACAGTCAAGTTTGGGGTTTCTCCAGATATCTCGAAGCAATTAGTCCTTAATCCTCATTCTGCATCAGAATCACATGATAAACTTTTACACCCAGAGGTTCAGATTCAATGGTCTAGGGTGGAGTCGGGACACCCCACATTTCAAAGGGTGCCCAGGTGATTCCAATGTGCAGCCACAACTGAAAACCACTGCTCTAAGCTAAAATCTTGAAAGCAAAATACCTCCACCTTAACGTGTTGTCAATAGTGAAACAAGAGATGCCTTGAATGAGGCACCTTCCAAACTGCAGTGCCCTAGGGAAAAGTCTCGGTCTGCCCCTCATGGAAGAACTCCCCACCCGCTTCCTCCTACAGCCAGCCTTAGCAGCGATCCCAGCCTCCCTGGGCACACACAGGTTCAGGGCTCAGAGCTCATGGCAGGCTGCGCTGCCCTCCTGGATGCTCAGAACAAAGAATAAAGATCCAAATATCTAAACTGCTCCAGGTCAAAGCCAAGCAGACAGCATGATCAGAAATTGCTTCAGCTGAGAACTAAGGCAACCACCATACAACTACTCCCCAAAAAGCTCCAAGAGGCAGTGAGTTGTTTATTTGTTTTTAATTAGAAAGAATGGATAATTCCACATTAGAAAAAAACAGAAAAGGATTGGAAGTCAGCCAATTCAAAAAGCAAACATAGCTCTGCCTCCCAAACCTAATGAACACAACGCATGTGCAAGCGCACACGCACGTGCACACACACAATAACACAAAGCATTGCCACGTCCTCACATGAACGCTAAGCGCAGCTAGCAATACTAGCTTCCCCCATAATTTGTAGTAGGTTGATGCCAGCTCTCAGAAGGCCTGGATCCTTTGTCTGGCTTTGTATTAAAATACACTATTTTTCTCAAAGTCTTAACAGCTACCATACTGTAAGAAGAAGGTCCTTATGTTACAAGTATCTGAATTCACACCATGGCTGCAGCAGACACCTTTTGACGTATCTCCCCACCTATACCCCTCTTCTCTGAAATCTGCACCCCACTCACAAGGCTGGGTCCCCTCAGCTGTGCTTGCTCATCTTGGCCACATACTCCTGACCTGGGTCACTGAACCAGCACCAGACACGTGACCCAGCTGGGCTGGACCGAGAGTTGCTGGTCTCAGTCTGGAAGGTGGCTTTCATGTGGATCGTGTAAATGCAGGCCCTTTGGGGAAGCTGGGTTGGACCACATTGCAGGTAGAAAAGAAGGCAGGAGAGAGAGGGAGAAGGAAAAGCAGCGGCAAGAAGCAGAGATGGCTGGCATCCTGGTTGGCTCTCCCAGCTGCCTGAACTCCATGCCCAGGGAGTCTGTAAAGTGCCCCTTTATCCTTGCAATAAATTCCTCTTCTGCCTCTTCAGCTACTTTGAAATGGATTTCTATTACATGCTAACACAAGAAGAACCCTGCCTAAAATAACTGTAAAGCCTCATTATCAACTGCTAAACATTTCCAGGACTTTTTTTAAAGACCAAATTCAACTTTTTTCTCTTTATTGAATATGCTGTTTCTAAAAATGTACATATGCTTTTAATGTAAATACGTACGTGTTTTGCTGTGGCAACTGGTTTTAAAATCAGAAACAAGGCAACCTCACCAGATTTGGGATCAACAAAAAGGAAGATCTCTAGAAAAATGCTCCCTCACATCCCCTTCTTGACAGCGACCATGGTCAGCAGGAGGAGCCTGGGAAAAGGAACTAGGGTGGCCAGGCCTGACTTAGGTGCGGAAGCTGTGGGCACCAACTGCCCCAGCCCTGCCAGAGCGGGCCGGACACACCGACATTCTCTGGAGAACCCAACACCTGGCTCAAAGAATGAGCACCAGGGAGGACGGAAAGTTCCTGGATGCACTCTTTAACAGGGGTTTAAATGGATAACATGCATTTATAGAGACTTCAAGAGAGAAACTGAGTCACTCTAACATGGCCGACTAAATCCTCTCTTCCCAGCATTAGTAGAACAGTGTGAAGGACCAAGTACAGACCTCCGGCTGGATGGCTTTGAATACCGGTATGTCCATCAGTGTGATCTGGCTCTGCAACAAGAGAGAATCAGCGTCAGAAAACACTGTGAATCAAAGATAACTATGTTACTTTGAATCTATGCAGAGTAATAACACATTCTTAAAAGTTATACTTTCCCCCTTGAAATACAAATCAAGATAGAATAGTATATACTCTAGTGGGTAAATTTCTCAAATGCCTCTCCCATCGTTCCCTCTTTATAAATCTTGATCCACACCCTTCTTTTTTGAATGTAAGATTAACTTCCAATTTCAGAACTGATAATAGTAGCTTGAAGGATGGGACTGAGATAAAGTGGAACATTTTCAGTTCGGATATTTTTCTACTATTTGAGTTTTTGTTGCAAGCATGAATTACTTTTGTAATTTTAAAAAGTTGGAGACATAGTATTAAAAGAATGCTAAACAGAGACACTATTACTCTAAATTTAAATTTTTTTTTAAATTGTGGCTTATAGAAATTGTACATTTCTTCTGAAGTCTATGCCTCCTCTAAATTATACGGTAGAGTACTACTCAATATGCACCCGCAAATCAGTGCTGGACCATGAACTATTTATTCCACCAGCCCACAATGAGATAACTACAGAAGCTGAGAGCAAGCCTTTGGAAACTTTTATAGGAAATTGCCATGACATTTTCATTGTATTTTTTAAAAGTATCAGTCCTCAATAGATTGGAAATGAAAAAAACTGGTCCTCACCACAACTAGCTTGAGAAGCACTAATGTGGTCAATACAGAAAATACACATCCGGTTAAAAGGCTGTTCCCATCCTTTGAAGCTTATCGAGTGACAGTAACAGGAGGCTTCATTGCTGACAATTTTACAGGCCAAGGCATGGACTGAGCTGACTTCACATGACCTACCTATCTCCATAGGTCACATGAGATGCCAGTGTTAGTTAGCAAATGCCTTTGTGACAGGCTAGGGAAAGGAGAGCTGAGGGCCTCTGGATGCCTACCTATGTTAGAAGCCACCCTGTCCACTGAACACAGGTCATCTGTGAGTACATGATACAGGGGAACAAACGTGGGCTCTGGAATCAACAGGGCTTGGGTGTGTGTCTGGATACCATCGCTTAACAGCAATATTCTCTTTGACATGTGACTTAACCTCTCCCAGTCTCAGGTACCACATCTAGAAAATGGTGATGATAATCTCTATCTTATTGGATCTTTGTGAAAATTCAAGACAAGAAGTGCAGAATGCCTGGCGCCTGACAGATGCTCTTTATATATATATATATATATATATATATATATACACAGAGAGAGAGAGAAAGATTTTTATATTTATTTATGTTAATATATTTTTATGTTTATATAGAGATATATCATATTTATATTTATGTGTTTATATATTTGATATATCATATATATATTTGGGGGGGGCAAAAGAGAAATCACATAGATGGGCTCATGTATTGGCATGTGAACTTATGGTTCCTGACCAATACATGAGCTAGGAAATAAGGGACCATTAATTTGTTTGAACATCCACACATCAAAGTTGCTCTGGAGAATACTTAAAGGAGGCTGTTACATTGAGTCAGCAAATATTGTCATGAAAAAAAGCCTGGTGTCAAGAATACATTGGAGAAAAATGGCAACACACATAGTATATCAACTATAACCATAATCCAGGGCTTAGGTGCAGAACTGTGGTCACCTCTTGGCACAATTTAAAGGTGGCCCGAGATCACTGGGTTCCTGAGAAACACAGGATGCAGGCCAAAGCAGACCTCCCCAGGGCTGAGCAGGAGAGGGGAATAAGCAGGTGGCTTCAGTGGAGAGCCTCTGTTCCCTCCAAGGGGCTAGTGCTCTTCATGGGCACACAGGTGAAACACTGCCACTAATGAAGCAAGCCCGGCAGAGAGACAGTGGATGGCACGGCACCAGGAATAAAGAAGCACTTGAGAATCTGAGCTCTTCTACCTCTGGGTCCAGCCCCAGTGGCAAGGCGACATCGGACATCAGCACAACGTGGATCTGGCCCTCATAATCTGGGTGTCAAGTGACTACTAAGTCCTAAAGGCCTCCAGGCCTGTGTGTCTGGCCTAGAGCTACAGGGCCTGGGGCTACATCCTAGGCAGTGCAAACAGACTAGCTTTTTTTCTGCCAGATCCATGGAGACTGTTAACCAAGTGCTCCTCACATTTGGATTAATTCTGCCATCCTGAGGAACAGAAAGGCCTTGTGAAAACAGGAGATTTGAGCTGAAAGCTCAGAGGGCCTTGGAAATCTCTCCCACAATTCAAGTTAACTCCCTACCCGGGAGAACCAGCAGGATGTTTGCAATGTCATTTAGGAAAAGAACCAAAAGTGTGCTAATGTGAAAATGAGAAAACTTCCTTTCCATCCTGCCATCAGTTCTATGGTTTGCTACTGAATTTCCACATGATTTATTAAAATAGTAACTTTACATTTCGTATTTTTTTGGATGGTCCAAGTTTTGACTATTCTGATCCTTGCTCAGACTGGAAGTCAGAAAATGTGTTCAGGTGTTTTATTCAAAACAAACAACAAAACAGAGGTCACCAGACTTAAAATAGACTGGCTGGTCCCAAACACACTTTCTGAAGGTTTTCAGAAGAATCTCCCATTTCTATCCTCTCAACTCTGACCAAAAATGATGGAGTGTTCGGAGAAAGAATATATCAATACATGGGTAAAATCATCAGATTATAAATCTCATGTCATTTTACTACAAAGCCAAACCATGTGAGAAAGGTTGCTGCTGAACCACCCTTCCCCGGAAGTTTGAGCACTCCCAAAAAGGGAGGGTGTGAGTAGGGGTGGGGCTTGAAGGGTGAGGTCAGGTCCTAAGGGAGATGTCCTGGCTTCCTGGAGAGAAAGGGCATTTCCTCAGGGTGTGGTAAGCCTCAACAGAAACACGAGACAGTCAGGCTCTTGTTTCCAAGCAGCCAACTGCTGCAGTGGGGAGGACATGCCTGGCCTGATGAGGACGCTCGTGAACAAGTCTCCTAACGGCCTCTCCTTATTTTTGGAAATAAAGCCTGTTAATACAGGGTGTCCAATTAAGCTAGTCACCTGGCAATGACTTCCTTAATCCTAACCCCTTCTCCCATCTGCTCCTTCCTTCTAGTCCAGGGCCCCCTAAAAATCCAGGCTTTGAGGTGAAATGGCCGATCTTCACATATTACAAAATATTTCTGTAGAGATCAATCCTTCAGAATGGAGACACCTATAGGAGCACTTGACAATGCAGCCCTGGTATTATGTGGGTAAATGAAAGCTACTTAACCGAAAAGGAAAAAAAAACGTTTTCTGCATATGTTGAATGCAGTGTTTCTCCCCTCTAACAGTGGCTGACTAAATCCTCTCTTCTAAGGCTCTCCCAGCCCCCAAATAAACAAACAAAAAAAGCCCTTGGCAAATCAGTGGTATGTCTTACAACAGAAGCTATCTTTAACTTTGCACTTAGATCACTTCACTGATGTACAACCAGGAGGGCTCACAGGACAAAAAGTAATCAGCTCCAAAGACAGATTCCTGCTTCTACTCCCACAGCCAAAGGACGCAGGTCTGGCAATTTTAGAATCATAGTCAAGGAAATGCAAATTAAAGAAGAAGATACCATTTGTTGACCCTCGGTGCCATCACGACTGATGGGACTATGAACCGCTCTGTTCTTTATGGAAAGTAATCTGGCAGTAACTCATTAAAAAGTTTTTTAACTTTTTATTTTTAAAAAAATATCAAACTTACAAAAAAGTTGCAAGAATAGTATGATGAACTCTATAACCTTTCACCTAGCCTCACTAATTATTATTTTGCCTCATTTGTTTTATCTCTGTGTACATAATTATATATACACATTTTTTCTGAACCTTTTGAGAATAAAATGCAGATATTACGATCCTTCACCCCTAAATCCTTCGGCCTGTTATTTCCCAAGAACAAGATCATCCTCTTCCATTATGATAAAATTATTACATTCAGGAAATTTATTCTTGGTACAACAGTAGTATCTAATACACAGTCCACATTCAAAATTTGCTAATTATCCCAATACTGTTTTTTATAGCAATTTTTTCTTAATCCAGGATCATGCATTACATTTACATATTATCTCCTAAAAGGTGAAATGAGCGTCCTGTTGACACAATAATCCCTATACCTACAAGGAAAAGCAGTGGTACACAAGATTTTATATAGAGATCTACATTTAGATACAGATATAAATATAGATGTTTACTGCATCATTATTTGTAGTAGCAAAAATCTGGAAACAACCTAAAAGGCCATCAAAAGGAACTTGTTGAAAAAAAATTATGGTATAGCCAGACTCTGGAAGATTATACAGCTATTAAAAATAGAGAATTAAATCTATACATATTGACCTGGAAGGAGATCCATGATCTATTGATGATAAAGACAAGTTCCAGCATTGCTTTTTGCTCTGCTTTCAGCCACTGGGGAGTAGAAGGACTGAGATCTAGCCGTAGAGCTAATCAAGCCCCACCCCTATCCACATTCTCCCTTTTTGGTAAAACATTTTCATTGTCTGAAGCTTGTTCTCTGGTAGATTCCTCAGGGAGGGCAGGCAGGAATAATATTCTCTGAGGCCTTGCATGTTCATAATGGTTTGTCTGTGCCCTTTATAGTTGAAAGTCAGTTTTGTTGGATATAAAATCTTTGGCTCACATTTTTTTTTTCTTTCCTTGACTTATTTGATTATGTTATTTTACTTTCTTTTGGCAAAAAGTGTTTCTCTCAAAAATATTGATGGTAATCTAATTTTATTTCTCTTACAAGTAATTTGCTGTTTTTGCCTAGATACCCAAAGGATTTTATCTTTTTGTTTAATATCTGGTAGTTTACTAAGAGTATGTCTTTGGTATTGACCATTCTGTGTTGACATTGTTAGCTTCAAGACATGCTCTTTCAATACGTAGTTTCAAATATTTTTTTGTTTGTGAAAATTTCCTTAAATTATAGTTTAAGTATTTGTTCAGTTCCTTTGCCTTTTTATTCTCTGCTTTCAGGGATTTCTATTATCTGTATGTTGGATCTTCTTTGCCTATCATCAATAACTGTCAGTTTTTCTCAGTCTTATTATCTTTTTCTTCATTTATTTTGATCTTAAAAGTTTTCCTCCCTTAAGGCATTTTCTGTTTATCTATTCTTGTGTTCCTTCTAGTTCAACTTTCATTTCCAAAATACTTTTCTTTTGTTTTCAATTCTTTCCTAAGTTCTGTCACCTCATTCCTGAGAGTTTTCTATTTCCAATTTATGTTGTTCATGTCTTACAGCGTGATCTTAATGTCTCTTAGCTTATTTTGAAACAGAGAGTTATAGTTTTTAGCTGTTCTGTGGCATGTCTTTCTGGCATGCTTTCATTATGTATAAGGATTCCCTCCTTACTCTTTCTTTTTGCCTATAATAACTTTGAAAGATTTTATATTAGCCATTTCCTATTGCTTATTTTTATGTAAAATTAGTTTTCCTGAACTTTTTAGAGGGGAATATGGTTCAGGGTAGCTTTTCTAACTTCACATAGCTCTCCTTTTGCTTGCTTTCATGTAGTGTTCAAAAACACGCAGTTGTTTTTTGAGATTTCACACATACACACGCACGCACTTTTATTTAGACCTTCTTTTTCCTTAACCATAACTTTCCCTAACCTGATCATTTTGATTCCACTCCCATACTGAATTTCTCTTTGGTATGGAGCCTTGTCCTGGAAGCGAGCCCTGGCTGATTGGTTTCAAGAGATCACAGGGGCTCATCCACAGATCTCTTCCACCCATCTGTAACTGGAAATTTGGGGGTTCTCCTATTCTCAAGTCTGTCAAGTGCCCCAATACTTACTTCTGGTTTCTCCTATACAGATGCTGATACTCTGCAGGTCTTGTTGATATTGGTGGTATATCCCAGCCACTTCTATTTGGGGTTTGATAGGGACAACTTGTCACCTACTTTTATTGTAAACATTGTTCATGGGTTTCAGGGTTTACTATCTAATTGTTCTGGATGTTTTTATGTGGGGATTCAGAGAGAATAAAAAACTATGCTGCTGCCACCACCATCTTCCTAGAATCACTTAAATGATTTTTTCAAAGGACTTTTGTGCCTGGCTTTTTTGTTTCTTTCATATTATTAGACAGAATACCAAAATACCAGGTGGTCTGGTTCAATTCCAACACCTGGCAACTCCAATGCTTCCTCAAAGACCAAATACTGTAGGAGACCTGGCTTCACATCTAAGCTAAAGACACACTGGCTCTGGCAGGGGCAGCCAGAGTTTTAGCACTGCACCCTCAAAGCCTTCACCACCCTTCCCTACGGTCTTCTCAGCCTCAGAAAATTGGCCTGGGGCAGGCTGAGCAACTCTCTAGGGCAGAGACTAGAAAACCAGGCCCAAAGTCTCACCAAGGAGTCCTCTTGCCCAATGCTGTTCTAGGTACAGCCTAACTCTCTGCCTTTCCATATGGTGAACACCTATAAGGGGATTTTTAAACCTCATTATTGCTTCATTCCTTTCATGAAGCTAAAAAACACAACTCAAAAATACAATAAGCATAGGGGCTGGCCCGGTGGCGTAGCAGTTAAGTTCGCGCATTCCACTTCGGCAGCCCAGGGTTCACCAGTTCAGATCCTGGGTGCGGAGCTACTCACTGTTCATCAAGCCATGCTGAGGCGGCGTCGCATATAGAAGAGCTATAACTCTACAACTATGATTCACAACTATGTACTGTGGCTTTGGGGAGAAAAAAGAAAAAAGAGGAAGATTTGCAACAGATGTTAGCACAGGGCCAATCTTCCTCAAAAAATATATATATATATGTATATAATAAGCAAACAAGAGCAAACAGAATATAGAAGCTAAGCTATCAGCCAGCAAGGTCCATGAAGTCTTCTAAAGGAGAGAGAGTACAGCTTTGTGGCTAAGAGTAGAGACTAGCACTGTGCTGTCCAATACGATGGCCACTAGCCACAGGTGACTACTGAACGTTTGAAATATCGCTAGCACTCTGAGTTTAAAATACACATTAGGGGCTGGCCCCGTGGCGTAGCGGTTAAGTGCGTGCACTCCACTGGTGGCAGCCCAGGTTCGGATCCCGGGTGCACACCGACGCACCACTTGTCAGGCCATGCTGTGGCGGCGTCCCATATAAAGTGGAGGAAGGTGGGCACAGATGTTAGCTCAGGAAAAAGAGGAGGACTGGCATGGATGTTAGCTCAGGGCTGATCTTCCTCACAACAAAATAAATAAATAAATAAATAATAATAAAATACACATTAAGTTTTGAAGATAGTTCAAAAAAAGAATACAAAGTATCTCAATTTATGTTGCTTACATGTTGAAATGACAATATTTTAGATGTACTAAGTTAAATAAGATATATTTTTAGAAGTAATTTCACCTTTTTTGATGTGGCTACTAGAAAATTTAAAAGCCACACGTAGCTTGGATTATATTTGTGTTGGAGAGGACTGGTATAGAATGCCAGACAGCCCTGGTTTTAAATCCCACGTAGATAGTGCCACTTACCACCTGTGTGAAGAGATGACTTTCCTCTCTAAGCACTGACTTGCTCATCAGTATACTGGGAATAATAAATATACCTAATTTATAAGGCATATTTGTGAAAAGTAAATCACATAATGCTTGCAAAACGCGTAGCACAAGACCTAGACACAGTAGGTGTTCAAAAAGGTGTTCAAGGAGCTGCCCTTGTTACTACCACTCAGCATGAGGTGAATAATCAGGTGATGAAGGTTTTAGACTGGCTCTGACCACACCTGGCTGTATGATCCAGGTAAAAAAATTAATCTCTTAGTCTTCAAAAAATTAAAAATAGAGATGCCCTATGATCCAGCCATCCTACTACTGGGAATCTATCCAACGAACCTGAAATCAACAATCCAAAGAGACTTATGCACCCCTATGTTCATTGCAGCATTATTCACTATAGCCAAGAAATGGAAGCAACCTAAGTCTGCCTCGACTGACGATTGATCAAGAAGATGTGGTATATATATACAATGGAATACTACTCAGCCATAAAAAAAAGACAAAATTGTCCCATTTGCAACAACATGGATGGGCCTGGAGTGTATTATGTTAAGTGAAGTAAGCCAGAAAGAGAAAGACAAACACTGTATGATCTCACTCATATGTGGAATATAAACCAACACATGGACAGAGAAAACTGTGTTGTGGTTACCAGGGGCAATGGGGGTGGGGGGTGGGCACAAGGGGTGAAGGGAGACATAAATATGGTGATGGACAAACAAAAATGTACAACCCAAAATTTCACAATGTTATAAACTATTAAAACATCAATAAAAAAATTAATCTCTTAGATTCTGATTTCTTTACAGAAAATCAGAAGCTAACCGTCTGCCTTATCAGGTTGCTGTAGGACTGAATCCCTTCAGTCAACATGTATTTACTAGCTATGAGCCAGACACTGTTCCGGGCACTGGGGAAAGAGCAATGAACAAGTCAGATGAAGTTCCTGTCCTTAGGGAGCTTGTATCCCAGTGGAAGAGATATACCATAAAAAACACTATTGCATCATGTAATGTGGGGTAGTGATACGAAATATGAAGAACAGAGCAGGGTAAGGGAAGAGACAGTGATGGAGAGATGCCACATTAGCCCATGAAAGTCCTATCCCAGGACTGACATTTGAACAGAGACTGACACATGTGGAGAAGAGCCGTGAGGACTGAAGGAAGAATCAGCACAGGGCCTGGAGGCAGGGGAATGCCAGTGAGTCTGGGGAAGAAAGAGGAGGCCAACGTACAGCTGGGGAGCAAGGAGATGGGGGCAGGAGAGGAGGCTTGGCCAGACCACAAGGGGCACTGGAGGCCTGGGAGGAACCTTAGGTCTCATTGTAGTATGAGGCAGCTGCTAGAGAGTTATATGCAGGTTTTAAAAGGATCCCTCAGACACACTAAAGGAGGCGACGCGTGTGCCAGGCTCAGCATGGCCTGGCACAAAGTACTCGTGGGAGCTAATGATGGCAGAGCAATGAGATGGGGCCCAGTCAGCTCCCACAGCACCCTGGAGGGCATGAAACCTGTTCTAGCCAGGAGACAGAGATGAAGTGGGCATGGCAGAAAACACAGCCCTGGGACACTACTTGCAATCAGGCTCAAGGTCACCCCAGAGCCAACATACTCCCTCTACCCTCCAACTGCAAAAGGAAGAAACCAAGTCACAACAAAACAAGGAACCATCCCTCGGTCAGACCAGCAGCAACACACTGGTTGAAGAAAAAATAATTTTAAAAAAATTTATAATTACAAAAATTGCCCACATAATATTGTCTATCATTTAGATAATGGCCATTATAAAAATGTAGAAAGTACAAATAAACAAAAAGAAGAAAAATTAAATTCCAATTACCTAGAACCTTACAACCAGAAACTACCATAAATAATATGTTTGGCTATATATATATCCAGATATTTATGAACATGTAAACATCAAAACTAGACCTTTTCTTACGCAAATATAAATATGTACGTGTTGTACATGCTTTTTAAAAATGGCATTATTCTCTACAAACTGTGCTGTAACCTGCTCCTTTCACTTACTATTCATATATATTGTGTATGCCTTCCAAGGTGGTTAATTTCTAGATTGACAGCATTGTTTTTAACGCTGCATGGTAGGATACTTTATTCAACAATCCCCTGTTGTTGAGTAAATGGGTTGTTTCCAACCTGAGCAAAAAGCCCTGTGCAGTGACCCCTCCAGCCCCTTGTCACGGTGCGCAGCCACCCACATCAGTTCTGTTACTTACAGCAAACTCCTCGGGAGTCACTTTCAAGACATCGAACACAACGGCGTCGTAGCTCTTGCTGGCATGGTCACAGCTCTGGCCCTCCAGAGAGTCTGAGCTGCTGCTGCCCTGTGGAGGACGGGGAGAGAGGGTGCCGCCTGAGCAGTCTAGCTGACTCCAGAATGACTGAATCCCAAACCTCAGAACTGAGGATGCAGGAGTGACAGAACAGTGCCTGATAAAGGCTTCCACTGTTTAGTGCTTTACTCTATTCCAGGCACTATGTTAAGCACTTCATATGTATGATCTTATTTAATTCTCCTAACAACTCTCTGAGTACACACAATCACTGTTGCCATTTCACAGATGAGGAAGTAGGGGCAATGTGGCTTCCCCAAGGTATCTCAGCTGGGAAACTGAAGAGCCAGAATGCGAACCTGGTTTGGTATCTCTCTGATCCCAGCACACACAGCCTCAATCCTTACACCCCGACTGCTTCCCCAGCGCTGTGAGTGATGGGGTAAAAAGATACAGCCCACTCTCCCTTCAGAGAGAACAGGCCTTCACATCTTAGAGGCCTGAGGAGATCATGTTTTGTTGTGCCTTTCAAACATTACCTGGTTTCACCTTTTTTTTTTTTCTACTTTAAGTCATTGCAGGAAATTATTACACAAAACGTTAAACTGGCTCTCAAGGCTTATTTCATGGTCAGGCCACTTGGAATTCAAAGCCTGTTAGCTGGTGAGGTGAGAGGTAACCCACTGGCTTTGGAGACGGGTGTGAAAGTTATATTTAGTAGAGTCCCTTGTTAAGAAGAACACGGTGAGTCCTGCATGTAAAGAAAAGGCCTCACATAAAAGAGCAAGTTAAAATTCCCCAAATGTGCCCGGTTTCATGAAACTCAACACTGTGGGATCCCAGAATGTCAACATACAACTTCTCTTCCATTTTATTTAATTTCATCAAATTCTACTTTGGGGAACCAATTGAGCTTACCACCCAAAAATTGTGACCGTTCATAAATGGTTTTACTCGTCTCAACCTATGAAGAGGGATTTTGTGGTTTTCACTAACCTCAACATCTTGGACTGGGATTTAGAGAATACACTTTTATTAATTCCTCTTTATTTCACTCTTTCCAAAATGGCTATATCTGGAAAAACTTTGCAATCTTACTGGAAACTGGAGTGTTTTTAAGCCAGTGACGGAAACCAATAGTCAACAACTGAAAATGTGAGGTTAAAAGGAGGAGCAGAAACTTAAACCCGTAGATGTCAATAGGCCTGTGTCATTTAAAGGTTTGACAAATGGGTCTGCTATCCCAAAAACTCCACGATGACCTTAAGAAGCAGTACATCATGGAGCTTAAGATTTAGTCAGACAGGTCTGGCTAAATCGCCAGCTCCACGCGAGCTGCTGTCTGACCTCAGGCAGGTTACTTCATGTTACTGAGGCTCTGCTGCCATCTGTAAAATGGCGCTGCTGCTAAACTCTACTCCCCAGGGTTGTAGTACAGGCAATAGACTAAGAAGTTTACAAAGCAACTGGCAGAACCCCTCCCTTGGACATGCTGATCCAAGGGGCCTGGGTGGGCTCAGGCACGGCTTTTTTAAAAGTTCCACGGGTGATGGGACATTCACCTCTGAGGAGAACCTGTGTTATACTTCTGAAAGGTAATAACGACTAATCCTGAATTCTTCCGGGATTAGCAATCTATTCTACTCCTCGGTATTATACATAGACCTATAAATCACTCTGCATGTCCACACCCACCATCCAGGAAGCAGGCTGAGGAGACAGGGCTGACTTTCCACAGGACAGTGCAGTGCCATTGGGTTAGAAGCACCAGCTTGAGAGTCACAGAGGCCTGGCTTTGAGTCCCCACCCACCACTGACCAGCTGCGTGACTTGAAGCCAGTTTATTCACCTCACCCTGCCTTAGTGTCCTCATCTATAAACTGGAGTGAAACAACAGTACATACCTGATGGGGTTTATTGTGAGGATTAAGTGAGATAATCCTGTGGAATGTGCAAACAAAGTGCCTGGTAATATATTAAGCACTAATTATGGGCGTATATGTGTATAAACACATCATTCAGTCACCACAATTTATTGAGCACTTCAATTTTACATGTATTCATTCCTTCATTCATTCAACAGTTATTGAGTACTTACCGTGTTTTGGATATACATACACACATATATGCACATACACACAGCATATATATATATGTGTGTGTGTGTGTATGTACATGTATGCATATATAAACATACATATACACACACAGAGACCAGAGAAGAAAGAAGTTTTACTCTGGAGGGAGTATAAATTGTAAATAGAAACAGAAGTCTGATTCCTCCAGTCATCAGAGTCCATCGCTGGGATTTCAGGTTTTATAACTTTCCTGTAACACCCCACTTCGTCTGCCCCAAACACACACACTCATACAAGGGGCCTTATTTAATCAAAGTTGCCCCAAATACATTCAGTGGTGGTGGTGGTGGTGGTGATGATGATGATGCAACTTTATTTAAACTTATATTGGTGCCATCAGGGAATTTTAAAAGGTACCCACAAGTCTGCATCAGAACCAGAGATCAAAATAAGGAATTTTTTGAAAGGTTTATAAGAAATGATTGGTTCCTGTGAATTTCTAGCTGGTTACACAGATCATTTTAAAAGCCAAGCTTGACCCTAGAGATCTTGTGAGCTCAGCACACTGGGCGCTGCCTTGCCAGTTTGTCACAGGAGCCAGGCATTACGCACTCGACATGGTGGCATCCCTGGGCCTCAGACGACACCCACTCCTCCCGCATCCCTCTGTTCCATTACTGAACTTGAAAGCAAACTCCTAAACCCCTAGGGCAGGGGCCCTAGCCCAGGCCACTCTCAGACCACCAGTCCTTATAGCCATTTCCTACTGAGCAAGGTAAATAAGAACACAGGGCCAGTTGGAATCACTTCTGTCTGACTTCATTCTGGAATGTGTGACTTATTCATAATCAGCAGCAGCTTTTCTTGGGAAAGGTCTGATCCCTTCTTGCCACCAAAATGGAATGTGGCACTTGCTACGACTGGACTGGGCAGGTATTTGTTTTTCTTTGAAGAGAACAGCTTCAGAAAACATACTGATCCTCAAGGCTGACTGCCTCCCAAATCTCACGCCTGGCGTGGCCAGGGGCCTTGGGAGTGCTAAGAATGGCGGTATTCATGGAGCCCTGCAGCCTCGTGGTCCACGACTCAGCTGGGGCCAGGGTGAGCTGAAAGGAGCCCCCCTGCCCTGCCCCCCCACCGTCCTGATCCTCGCAGTCTCTGTACCTGTGGAGTGGCAGAGGTGACCAACACGCTAGCCATCAGACCATTCCTGTTGTACATAGTCTTTGGGCCACAGGGAGCTTCAGGGCAGTCTCTGTTGGTGACATAACCCGTCTGGAGAAGTCCTGCAAAGCAAATGGGCTCATAAAAACCAGCCTTCAAAAAACCAACTTAATCCCACCCCTGGGAGAGAGCTGTGCTGGGCTTAAGCAGATGACTCTGAAGGAGACCTTTAAAGAAAGATTATAAGCTGGCGGCCTTCAGGCTAAATACGGCCCACAGATGTAGTTAGCTGGGCTTGCACAGGTTTTAATATTTTTTAAATTAATCACCAACATTTAAAAATTGGAAAGTTTCACATAGAATTCCGGATTTCTGACTTTCCCTGAAAATAGAAATATCTGGCAGCACTGGGCCCACATTCCTGCCTGGCGACCACCAGCTGGGCTGAGCGAGGCTGCCCCTGGGATTGGAGCAAGTATCTTTCAGTCCCCGCCTGGCCTGTGAAACCATTTCGATACGTGCCTGTCCCTTGTAGGCACTAGAGTTTGTGAGCTTTGTTTTAAAATGAAGGCAGGTAAAGAAGACAAACTGATTCTACTGTGTTTCCCTGTGCACCACACCATTTCATCAATAATAACACAGATGATAACTAATACTCATATAGTACTAGCCACATGCATGCGCTTTACAGATCTTAACTCAGCTAACTCTCCCAACAGTCCTCAGGTCGGTCCTATTATCACATCCACATTACATGTGAGGAATCGGAAGCACGGAGAGGTTAAGTAACTCATGCTTTGGTGCCTTTGCTCATGCTGTCCCACCAGCCCATCACCATTCAAGGCCCTGCTCAAAGGCCATTTCATCTGGGTTTTGTGCCTGGACCACCCAAAGCAAAACCAGCTGTTCTCATGCCAATGTGTACGCACTTCTAGTAGAGCATTTATCACATCACTAAACATCAGAGAACTGTAGCCACCGCCAGCTTTTTAGCAGGCGAGTGACCAGGAGAGCAGGCAGGATACAAGGGGGAGGGGAAGGGAAGGCAAAGGCACCAGTTGGAAGCCAACTGCAATTATCCAGGCAAGAGAGGAGGAGGGTCTTCTGAGCTAAGGTGGTAGCAGTGAAGTCAGAGAGGAGACAGACTGAGAGACAGTAAGGACAGGGATGCAATAGAAATTGACGAGGGGGGTGAGGGAGAGGAAAGGTGAGGATGAATGGTTTCTGGCTTGAGGTACCAGAGGATGGCGTGTCCTTCATCAAGGAAAGGAACACGTGGTATAGCAGATTTGTGGGGAAAAAATGATGAATTTAATTTGGGACATGCTGGATCTGTGATGCCCATGAGAAAATCAATCCTGGAGAGCAAGGTCAAGCCCAAAGGTCACTGGGAAAAATGGTCTGGAAGTAGATCAAAAAGAAAAAAGTGTCAGTCTGATCTTGACACTATCTGTAACCCTCCCGGATCCCTCAGCCACAGGCCCCATCACAGAGCAGTGTGCCTTCAAAGAAACAGAGTCGAGCACCCAAAAAGGAATGTCAGAATGACCCAAGCTCTTTCCTTGCATATCTCCAAAACTGCCCATGGCTGCTCCCTCACAACTGCTTCACCATGTTCCTCTTCAACCACCTCCTCCTCAGCAATAGCCTGTGAGCCTTCTGCCTTCCCTCCTTTCTTCCCAAAAGCACTCAAGAAAACTAGTCTGAGCTATAAACGACATTTAGGGGTCAACTGGGAAAAGCTGAGTATGGATATTAGCTGATATCATCAAATTGCTATGATTTTTCTCAGGTGTGCTAAGCAGCATGGAGGTTAAGGAGGAGAAGTCCTTATCCTCAGGCGAAACACATGACAGAATTTAGAGGCAAAGTGAGTGTGCAACTCACTTGCAAATGGGCCAGCAAAATACACATAAGTAGAGAGAAAACAAATACAGCAAAATGTTAACAATCGACATCCAATGACAGGAGTTCATTATACTAGTCCCTCAACTTTTACTAAACGCTTGATAATTTTCATAATAAAAAAAGAAAGAAAAAAAAGAACTGGTCTGGTTAGTTTTTTCTCAGAGGAAAAACTGAGCCAGAAAGGTCAAAATCCTCTTTCACAAGCAGGGAGAGGGAATGGGCTGGGCGCACTCATCTGTTAATCATTTTTGTTCTAGAAGCCACACTTGCCATTACCAAGGACCACGAATCCACGGCTGGTGCAGGTTTGAAAAGCAGCTGCACAAAAGATGTGAGCGGACATTTCCCAAAAGACACATGAATGGCTAATAAGAGATGCCATTGGGGAAATACAAATCAAAACCACAATGAGATACCACTTCACACCCACTAGGATGGCTAGAATAGAAAACACAGACAATACCAAGTGCTGGCAAGGATGTGGAGAAATGAAACCCTCATACATTGCCGGTCGAAAGGGAAAAGGTACAACTACTTTAGAAAATAGTTTGGCAGTTTCTCAAAAAGTTAAACATAAACTTACAAAGTGACCCAGCAATTCTACTCCAAGGTATCTACCTAAAAAAAAGAAAACATATGTCCACACAAAGACACGCCCGTGAATGCTTATGGCAGCATTATTCATCATAGCAAAAAGGTGGAAGCAATCGAAATGCCCATCAACTGGTGAATGGATAAACAATGATATATTCACACAATGGAATACTACTCAGCAATAAAAAGAAATGAAATACTGGTACAGGCTATAACTTGAATAAACAGCAAAAACATTATGCTAAGTGAGAGAAGTCAAACACAAAAGACCACACTACATGATGTCATTTTTGTGATATGTCTGGAAAGGGCAAACTCAGAGAGACAAGAAGCACATCAGCGGAGGCCGGGCTGCAAGCAGGACTGACGCAAGTGAGCACAAGGGATTTTCCCGAGATGATGGAAATGTTCTAAAACTGAATCACTGTGACAATCACACAGCCACTGAAAGTCAGAGAACTGCACACTCAGAATGGCTGAATTGTACAGTACACACATTACACCACAGTAAAGCAGCCGCCACCAGCTCAGTTTCATGATGGTGACCTGAACTCACACGTTTAACTCTCCCCTTCCACATCCCTTTGAAATAATCAAAGAGATATTAAAATACTAGAAACAAATTGTATGAGCACATGCTAACAGAGAAGGGTGCTTCACAAGCAAAACTGTTTGAGGGATTTCCAGTGCAGAAGAGACGGGACTGAGGGGAGAGGAACCAGCCTCTGGAGCAAAGGAAAGTCCTCCCAGGAATCAAGTGGAAGAGACCCTCCAACAGAAACCCCCAAGAAAAACCCAGAGACTGCAAAGTGAGAGATCCAGAAATTGAGACTAAAAGGGAGGCCAGCTCAAGAGCTCAAAGGCAGGGCCGGTCCGGTGGCTTAGTGGTTAAGTGCGTGCGCTCCGCTGCTGGCGGCCCGGGTTCCGATCCCGGGCACGCACCGACGCACCGCTTCTCCGGCCATGCCGAGGCCGCGTCCCACATACAGCAACTAGAAGGATGTGCGACTATGACATACAACTATCTACTGGGGCTTTGGGGAAGGAAAAAAAGGAGGAAGATTGGCAATAGATGTTAGCTCAGAGCCGGTCTTCCTCAGCAAAAAGAGTAGGATTAGCACAGATGTTAGCTCAGGGCTGATCTTCCTCACAAAAAATAAAACAAAAAAGAGTTCAAAGGCAGCGTAAGGGGGTCAAGCTGCTGGGGCTGTCTCAGACCAGACAAACCAGCTCAAAGGGAGTTGCAGCCAACTCAGCCAAGCTGTTCTGTGCCAGAACCTGCCAGCTTGATGGACAGAACCTCTTCAGACCAGTTCAAACCAGACTGAAGTGACTCAATCTGAGCCTGACAGAGTCACGGGGAGCTGGAGTGGGAGCCAGCCAGCCTGACCCTCCTTGACTGGACCAACTTGCTCCAGTTCCAGGCTGAGGTGGGCTTTGCTCCTTTCAGGGTGTGCCTGGCACTCTGTAGGTCTCCCCAGGGGAGCCAACATGGAGCCCAGGCTGCATGGCCTGGCCCAACCCAGAGGCTTTGGCTCTCCCCACATGCCTGACACTGTTAGTTCTCGACTCAGGCACACAGGTGCCCCGGCTCTCAGACCCTGTTCTGTGACCGGTCATTTGCTCACTCTCTGCTTCCATCTGACGGACGCCACCAACTCTGCCCGTTTCTCCAGTATTGTGTGGTGGCGCACTAGGTGGCCCTCTCCGCGCACCAATAGCAGCACGAGCAGGGAGTGCCAACGCTGTGCGAGGCTCTGGGCCAGCATGCCGTTTTAGCCCATTGAGTCTTCACAACCCCAGGAGGTGGAGACTCCTCTGATTCCTGGGAAACTGAGGCACAGAGAGGTGATGTAACACTGCTAGTGAAGCGGCAGGACTGGGGAGTTCAAACCCTGGTCAGCCAATGCCAGGGCCTGGGCCTCCTCCAAAAGTGCAGGTGAGGACTGGACAAGAAAATGCATATGAAACGCTCCATCCAGGCCAGGCACAGACCAAGCACTCGATCAAGGTTATTAGTTACTATTAGTGTTAATCTAATCCTACAATTCTATTCATTTATACCTATTCTTTTTTCCTAAAATAAACAAACCAAAAATTAACTTAAAACGTTCAAGAAACAACAGCATCATGCTTTGTGACACCACGGGCCTCCACTGCTGGGAAGGGGATTCCCAGCTGTGTGCTCCAGGCCCCCGGGGGAGCCCAGGCTGAGTGCAGGGCTCCTTCTCCACGAGTGACCTGCCTGCCCCCTACTCTGGCCCCAGCCCACCTAGACACAAAGCACAACAGCCCCAGCATGTTACCCTCATGCTTCCTATGGGCGGCCTGAGCTGGAGAGAAGGACAGGGAGCTTGTTTCTGATCCAACTCCTGCATGTCTTGCCACTGACGAAACAGACTAATTTATGGGCAGTGACTCTCAGACAGGGGATATTTCACATGCTAAGAAATAACAGGACCAAGCAGAATGGCACATCCTTTCCAAGACCCAGAGAAAGCCCCTGCAGAGAAATCCACCTGCAGTCCCTGAGGCCTGGCCAAGCCCCAACTCCTCATCAGGGACCAGATCCCATCAAGGGGGTCAGCCTGGCCAGGCCCCTCCCTGAGAACCACTTCCT